AAAGCATCCACTCTCCTTCTGTCCTCCCTAGTCATTGTCCAACTCTCTGATGCATAACAAGCGATTGCAAATACCATGGCCTGTATCAGGCGCACCTTATGCAACCTTAATTCTGGATTCCTGTGATAATCATAATATGCTATCATATATCACTTTTAAACTCTTCTCTCAAATAATTTCTAAAGTAGTTATTAATGTGTTTTTTGTTTGCATCACGTCGGATCCATCTGATGGTGGATACCTGACAGAACAGAGTTATAGCTGTTCTACGGGGTTCCCGAGGTTGTGATGTTTACGGAAATCCACTCTTAGATGTTTTCTCCAGTGCATAGTCATACAGGCTTGAATTGATGACCTTCCCATTACCTGAGCACTTAACCTTAGTGATTCCATAGCTCATAGGCTATTGAGGAAAGCTGATACATGACAACACAGGATTCTGTTCTCAAAGCTCCGTTATAAGTCAATTCTAACACAAGTCAAGTACCTCATTTTAAGCTTTCATAATTGTTGTTGTCGTTATGTGCCGTCGAGTCGCCTGGGACTCATAGCGACCCTCTGTACAGCAACCCTCAACTCTGCTCTGTCCTGTGCCAGCCGCACCATCTCCGATACACCCATCCCGATTAACCCAGTCACTGAATCAATCCACCTCATAGAGGGCCTTCCCCTCCACCCTATCAAGCATGATGTCCCTCCCCAAGGACTGATCCCTCCTTACAACATGTCCAAAATATGTTAAATGGAGCCTCAGAATCCTTGCCTCCAGGGAGCCCCCCGGTTTAATCCTCTCTGGGATGAATCTATTTGTTTTCGTAGCAGTCCATGGTACACTCAATACTCTTCTCCAGCACCACAGCTCAAAGGCATCAATTCTCCTTCTATCCTCCCTAGTAATTTTCCAACTCTCTGATGTATGACAAGTGATTGCAAAGACCAAGGCCTGTATTAGGGACACCTCTCCAGAGAGACACCATTGCTCTTCAGTACTTTGGAGAGGTCCCTAACAGCAGACTTTCCAATCACAATACATCTTTTAATTTCCTGGCTACTGGTGCCAAGAGTGTTGACTGTGGAGCCAAGCAAACTAAAGGTATGAACAATCTCAATCTCTTCACCATCCATCCTG